GGTGGACAGCCTCAGACCACATCGAAACACCACCACCCAACCACCTCCACAAGTGACACACTTAATGAGTGGACTCAGTGGGTACCAGAGCCCTGCTAATGTAAGTCTTGCTCTGTGTGGTGGGCCCCTACACAGCTGATCCTCCAAGGTAGTGCCTAGTGGGCACAGCCAGTCTTTGCAGCTCATCAGCCTGAGTAAACCCCTCCCACTGATGTGCCAACAGCAATCAAGACTCAATTACAACAGAAGGGTGCACCATGAGGGCACAGCTGGGTGATCAGGGAGACTGTGCCATTGGATCCTACCGGACACCTACAACAGTAGGCCACCCTACGAAGCCTAGGAGACATAGCAACTCTGCCTAATATATAGAAACAATACAGGGAAGCAGCCAAAATGAAGAGACAAAGAAACATGTCCCAAATGAAAGAAAAGAACAAAACTCCAGGAAAAGAACTAAACAAAATGGAGATAAGCAATCTAACTGATGCAGAGTTCAAAACACGGGTTGTAAGGTTGCTTAGGGAACTTGATGAGACATCCAAGGGACTTAGTAAGACCTTCAAGGAACTTAAGAAGACCTCCGAGGAACTTAGTGAGATCATCAACAACATAAAAAAGGGCCAGACAGAAATGAAGGATGCACTAACTGAAGTAATAATTTATAGGGAATCAATAGTAGAATAGGTAAAGCCAAGAAGCAAACCATTGATTTGAAATATAAGGAAGCAGAAAACACCCAATCAGAACAGCAAAAAGAAAAAAAGAATCCAAAAAAAATGAGAATAGTGTAAGGAGCCTCTAGGACAACTTCAAGCATGCCAACATTCACATCATAGGGGTGCCTGAAGGAGAAGAGAGAGAACAAGAAATTGGAAAAACTATTTGAAACAATAATGACAGAAAACTTCCCTAACATGGTGAACGAAAAGACATACAAGTCCAGGAAGCACAGAGAGTCCCAAACAAGATGAACCCAAAGAGGTCCACACCAAGACACATCATCATCAAAATGCCAAAGGTTAAATACAAAGAGAGAATCTTAAAAGCAGTGAGAGAAAAGCAGTCCGTTACCTACAAAGGAGCTCCCATAAGACTGTCAGCTGATTTCTCAAAAGAAACTTTGCAGAAAGGAGTGGCAAGAGATATTCAAGGTGATGAAAAGCAATGACCTACAACCAAGATTACTCTATTCTGCAACGCTATCATTTGAAATCGATGGACATATCAAGAGTTTCCCAGACAAGGAAAAGCTAAAGGAGTTCATCACCACCAAACCAGTATTATATGAAATGTTGCAGGGTCTTCTTGAAGGCTAAGAACAACAAAAATATGAACAATAAAATGGCAATTAATACATATCTATCAATTGAATCTACAAACAAAATGAGCAAGCAGAACAGAAACAGACTCCTAGATACAGAGAACTTTTTGTTCCTTACCAGATGGGTGGGGACTGGGGGGATGGGTGAAAAGAAGGAATTAAGAAGTACAAGTTGGTTGTTAGACTGATGAGCTTCAAAGGGAAAGGGGAGGGAGGGTGGGATGAAATAAACCAAAGAATTTCTGTGCATATATGCATAACCAATGGACACCAACAATAGGGTAGGGAAGGCAGGAGGGGGTGGGAATGGGGAGGAAGGGGTCAATGGGGAAAAAAGGGAGAAAAATCTGTAATACATTCAACAATAAAAATGAGGTTTTTAAAAAAATTATCCTCTGAAGAATATATGTACCCCCATGTTCGTAGTAGCACTATTTACAATAGCTAAGATCTGGAAACAGCCCAAATGTCCATCAGTAGACGAATGGATAAAAAAGCTGTGGTACATATACACAATGGAGTACTATGCAGGTGTAAGAAAGAAAGATCTCTTATCCTTTGAGACGACATGGAGGAACCTAGAGAGTATTATCCTAAGCGAAACAAGCCAAACAGAGAAAGACAAGTATCATATGATCTCACTTATTTGTGGAATATAATGAACATAACATTCTGAGGAATGGGGTAGTCCCAGAGACGTGGAAGTGGGGTACAGACTGACAATCCCCAGATGAGGGGGTGGTGGGGGAGAGATAAACCACAAAACTTATATGCATGTATGCATGAACAATGGACATGGACAACAAAGCTGGGGACAGAGTGGGGAGGGAGGGGAAGGGGGTATCAGTGGGGGAAAAAGGAGAAATATCTGTAACAAAAATTAATTAATTTAAAAAAATTATCCTCTGGTGAGGATTAACAAAAAAAATAAACAAACAAATAACCCCATAAACTTAGACTGATATTTTCAATTTAAATTTGGATCTATGGGGTTTTTAATATAATTTCATCAATATTACATTTATATCTTATTTTCCCCATGCCAAATGTATTCTCAATGACATCAGTATACTAATTTGCTTTCTCTAACAATACACAAATAACAGTTATAAAATAGCATTTCCATCACTACCACCACCAATATGATTATTTATTGAAATGTATTGTTTTTGTTATTTGTAATTCTGTTTTCTCCTTGAGGTATATCTCACAAGGAATATCCAGAAAAATTACTGTCTTAAAGTCACTCAAAATAATTTCTTTCCAATGAATGTGTATGCTACCAACTTGGTTCATTTTCCTTTTAATTTTTAGAGACTGCTTTTGGTGTTGGAAACAGATCTTTTAAAAACAATGTACCAGCCCTGGCCGGTTTTGCTCAGTGGTTAGAGAGTCGGCCTGCGGTCCAGAGAGACCCGGGTTTGTTTCCCGCTGAGAGCACGTACCTCAGTTGCAGTTTGTCCCCATCCCTGGTTGGGTCGTGCGGGTGGCGGCTGCTCGATGTGTCCCTTTCACGTCGATGTTTCTCTCTCTCTCCCTCCCACTCTATCTGAACAAAATATGGAAAAAATGTCCTCAGGTGAGGATTAAAAAAAAAAACAACAGCCCTGGCCGGTTTGGCTCAGCGGTTAGAGCGTCGGCCTGCGGTCCGGAGAGACCCGGGTTCGGTTCCCGCTAAGGGCACGTACTTCGGTTGCAGTTTGTCCCCGGCCCTGGTTGGTCGTGCGGGTGGCAGCCACTCGATGTGTCTCTTCACGTTGATGTTTCTCTCTCTCTCTCTCCCTTCCTCTCTCTCCCTCCCACTCTATCTGTACAAAAAATGGAAAAATATCCTCGAGTGAGGATAAAAAAAAAAAAACAACAAAAAATACAATGTACCAAATTTTCCAAAAAAATCAGCATGGCAAGTCTTTAAGTACTACATCCATATTGCTTGGATTTTTTTCAGACTATTTGGAGAATGTGGTAGGGAGGATTACAAATATATTTGGGGGGTCATATGCTGAAGGAATGAGCAAGCTATAACTTTTTTTTTTATCATCACCTGAGGTTATTTTTTCTATTTATCTTCAGATGGAGTGGGAGAGAGGGAGAGAGAGAAACATGGATATGAGAGGGACATAGCAACTGGTTGCCTCCCACACGACCCTAACCAGGGCCGGGGCAAACCACAACCGAGGGATGTGCCCTTGACTGAAATCAAACCTGCGACTCATTAGTCCATGAGCCAATGCTCTAACCACTGGCAACCCGGCCAGGGCCAAGTTATAACTTTTTAATTTTTCTGCTATGATTTTTTCTTGTGGCTTAGAAAAATACTCTGGACTACTTACCTTGTGCAGTAGTAGTTTTTTCAGTTGCTTTAGATGTCGCAGTAGAAATGTACCATATTCCCACACTATTATAAATTTTGCTTATTTTTGGAACAATTAGGTTTATAGATTATTTTTAAATTTAAATATTTATTTTATAATACTATAAAGTATTTACATGGTTCAAAAGTCAAATCTACAAACCAAGAAATATTCACTGGAGTCTGGTTTTTATTCCAGTTTTCTGTACTCTATTCTCTTTCTAGTAGGTAACCATTAAAATTTATTATGGTTAATTCTTCTATTTTCTGCACAGTTGCATAAATATTTCATATTCTGACCAAATAAGTTCCACAAAGTTCTGTGATTTCTTATTTTTATTTTTCAAAGAGAGTTTATAATATTCTTTGTCATCTGAATGATAGACTGTATCTTTTAATAAGCCATATTTTAGCCCTGGCCGGTTTGGCTCAGCGGTTAGAGCGTTGGCCTGCGGTCTGGAGAGGCCCGGGTTCGGTTCCGCTAAGGGCATGTACCTCGGTTGCAGTTTGTCCCCGGCCCTGGTTGGTCGTGCGGGTGGCCGCCACTCGATGTGTCCCTTCACATCGATGTTTCTCTCCTCTCTCGCCTTCCTCTCTCTCCCTCCCACTCTACCTAAACAAAAAATGGAAAAAAATGTCCTCGGGTGAGGATAAAAAAATAATAATAATTAATAAGCCATATTTTATAGATTGGAACTGAAAAAAGATACAGAAGCCAGAGCTTTGAAGAAGAAAGGACGCTTTGGGTGGAGACTACAGATCTAATCAATTTTTTTTTTATTTTTTTCTTTATTGATTTTTAGAGAGAGAAAGGGAAAGGAAGAGAGAGAGAGAAACATTGATGAGAGAGAACATTGATTGGCTGCCTTCTGCATGCCTCCCACTGGGGATTTGGCCCACAACCTGGACATGTGTCCTGACCAGGAATCAAACTGGTGACTTCTTGGTGCATGGGTTGACGCTCAACCACTGAGCCACACTGTCCAGGCTGTTATCAAATATTTTAAAGATTTTCTAGGAAAGAAGGAAACCATGCTGTTTGACTCCAAATAATATAGTAGGACCAATAAGAGAAAGCCAGATTTGAATTAGTATGGAAAAAATTCTGCTATTAGATAAAACTAAAAATAGAATGGGCTTCCTCTTGTGGTTTTAAGTTCTTGTCACTGGGGAGATTCATACGTTCTTTAAGGGTTAAACTGGTTGACTTCCACCGTCATTTGGTAATTCTGATTTCTGGAGTTCTTCCCCAGTTTTATATGAATTATTCTGCCTAACAGGTTTTATTGTATAGTCCCTGGGTGATCACTGTGTTTATTTTAGGAATCACTGACATTTAAAGATGTGGCTATCGACTTCACATTGGAAGAGTGGAGGCTGATGGATCCTACACAGAGGGACCTGCACAAGGACGTGATGCTAGAGAATTACAGTAATCTTGTCTCCCTGGGTAATGATAACTTCTGTGTTCATGTATGTATCTGCCCATCTGACCAGGTTTACTGAAGATACAGAGCCTCTAAAATACTTAACTGAATTTTGGCATTAAAATCTCATAATCTTAGGAGTACATTGTTGGGAGTTATGCTATTCCTCACTCTTAACCAAATGGCCTGCCCATTGTACAGTAAGAATTACATATTTGATCGGAATCTTGGAGATTGTTGACAGTCCCTCAGATTTACAACTAAAGTTTTTTCTAGTCACTTCCATAAATGAATTATCAGTGCCTCCAGAAATAAAAGGAATAAATATTTGTTCCTTTTCTTTCTAAAAGATTATTCTCATGATCTGTTCTCCCAGCAAAATTGGGGTCATGGTGCTGAGCTTTGAGATACCCTTGCCATTCTCTATGACAGCCATTGCACAGGAGGGTGTTCTGCTGTACTGGGGATGTCCTGTGTCTGTCCTATGGGCAAGCACTGGCCACTGGTGGCTCTTGAGCACTTGAAATGTGGCTAATCTAATTGAAAAACTAAATTTTAAATTTTATATAATTCAACTAATTTAAATTTGAATTGAAATAGCTACATGTGGCCATGGGCAACTGAATTAGATATACATCTCTAGAACTTCCTATAATAGCCACTGTACACAGGAAATTAAGAATTGAGACTGAATTTGACAATAGTTCTATCTCATAGGCACAATCAAGTCCTATTCATTTTTCTCTGAACAGGGCTTGCAGTTTCCAAACCAGACATGATATCTCATTTGGAGGATGGAAAAGGACCATGGGTGATAGTGAGAGAAATTTCAAGAGCCCCCTATCCAGGTGAGTTAATAAGAACCAGGAAGATGTGTTTATTCACATGGATGAATCAGAACATCTGAAATATTTTGGAGAGTTTCTTTTCTCGAAGCTATCTCAGAGGAAAAGATTCTCCCTCTTCCTCTCTCCCTATACCTTTCTTCCTCTCTTCCTCCCATTTTCCTCTCTGTTTTCCTCTGCCTCTGTGTCCTCTACTTTTGGTTCCTGTTCCATCCTACTTTGCTTTCTTGGATTTCATGATTTTAATTATTGTTCCTTTATTCCTTCTTCATTCAAACATGCATAAAATATTCCTTTCTCTTCTGTTGTCTCCAATCAAATTTACATTTTTTCTTTGTTTAACCATTATCTCATATATTTTTTTTCTTCATTAATTTTTCTGAAAATATTTTCTTGAGAATCAGCACTGATTCCTTTTAAGCTAAACCAACTTGGTCATTATTTAAGCCATTCATCTATAAGCCTGCTGAAACTCTGGGAGTTCTTAACTGTGAGAATACAAACAATCTTGGATATTGTGGACAATCCCTCCGATTTAGGTTCTAACTAATGGGAATACAAACAAGAAATCAGTTGAGAATCAAAATAGAGTCAAAATAGAGTATTTAATCACTGTTTATTAAATACTGTATACTGTGAACTGGTTTAGTGTTTCAGGAAAAGACCGTGTATGCAAAGCAACCCCAAATGCCAAAGGATTTGAGAGGCCAAAGAACGAGTAGACAAGACTAGCTTGTCAGTTTAAAGAATTTTAATAGGGAACTTACAGAAATACAGTCCAGGGTGGCAACAGGACAATATGGATCCTTGCCCCTTTCACACCCCAGACCACCTGTTCTGTAGCCCCCTAAGAAATAGACCTGGTACTCCAAAAGGAATGCAAGGTGATGGAGAACAAAGGGGCCAGATACTGGTGGCTCTGGCACCAGGATGAGATAACATCGAGGGCACCTTGCCCAGGAGGAAAGACTAATGGTGGAGGAAGGATTAATGGTAGTTCAACCTGGAGTCTCTATACACTTTCATAGTCCACCCAGGGGGGAAGAAGAGGGGATTAAAATGGAGTCAGCTCTGTATGCGCAGTTAGGTGCCAGGTTTGCAGCAGTAAGACAGACCAGGTACCTGCCCTCATGAAGGTTAATTTTTGAGAAATAGATAATTAACAAATATATAAACAAAAACAAGCTAAATAGTGATTGTAATAACTTTTGGCTATAAGTTAAACTGGGGGATACGAAAGAGTAACTAGGGTGGGGAATGAGGCTGCCTCCTTCAGATAGTGTAGTCAGGGAAGGCTTCTGAGGAGGTGACATTGAAGCTGAAACTTGAAGGATCAGAAGAAGCTAGCCATGGGAAGAAGAGAAGAGCATTTCAAGCAAATAACCTGATATAGGAAAGAATGTACTGTGTTCTAGAAACCAAAGGAGGCTGCTGTGATTGAAGCATGAATGAGGAGAAGACTGGTATCAGCTAAGATCAGAGAGACAGGAGACTGCCCATTCAGGGTTTGCAGGTAATGGTGAGGAGCGTGGATTTCATCAAAGAGGGTGTGAAGGCATTGAAAGATTTTAATCAAGGACTTTTACAAAACAACCCTGTTCATGGAAATTTAATTTAAAGGCATAAAGCAAATAATCAGTTAAGAGGTCAAAACAGTCTAGGCAAAAGATCATAGTAAATTTGATTAGGATGATAGTAGTGGAGATGGAAGGAAATAAGTGGATTGTAGTTCATTTTAGTATTCATTTTATTATGCCATCCATAAGTTGTATTGTGTTACTTATATATTGTTTTTATATATTAAATATTATATATTTTTTAAAAAGTGAATGAAGAAGGGTAGACATTGGAGATAGTTGGAGATGACTCTTCAGAGAAGAGTTCCCTCCCCACCATGAAGAAGGAAAGAGAAATGGAGCATTGACTAGAGGAAAGTATGGAATTAAGAAAAAACTCTTATTTTTGAGATGGGGGTTTTATGGCATGCTTGAGTGTTGATGGGAATGATGCCCCAATGGAAAGGGAGAAATTGATGTTGCAAGACAAAGATGGGAACACTGAAGAACTAAAGTGTCTGAAAAGGTGAAAAGGGATGAAAAGTCTGGAATGGAAAAGAAGGGAATCTAGAATGGAATAGGCAGGGAGGCCACCTCCCCTGTTGTAACACTAGGAAAAATGGGTACAGATAGAGGTCAACTAGTCATGGGGAAAAGGGAGTATTTTATTATAATAGCGTCTGTATCCTCAATAAAATACAAAGCAAAGCCATCAGTTTATTGTGACAACAATAAAGAGATGAGAAAGGGCAAGTTATATATTTTACGGTACATAGACTTCACCAGGGAAGCCAAATTGACTTGAAGCTTTTATTGTGCAAGGTGTTTAATTACAGTTTCTATTCCTTTTATAGTTACAGAACTATTTCTTTTTCTTTCAGTTTAGTAAATTAGGTTTATCTAGGAATTGACTTGTTTAATTTAAAATTTAAAAATTTTAGCATACTATTCTCTGTTTCTTTTTTAAATATCTATGTGTGCCCTGGCCAGTTTGGCTCAGCAGTTAGAGCATCAGCCCATGAAACAAAGGGTCTCAGGCTCGATTCCTGGTCAAGGGCACGTACCTGGGTTTGCAGGTTCAATCCCTGGCCCCATTCGGGTTGTGCAGGAGGCAGCCAATCAATATGTCTCTCTCACGTGGATCTCCCCCCCCCACCCCCTGATACCTCTCTGCCCCTTTTCCCCCTCCCCCTCTCTCCCACCCTCCTTCCCTCAAACTCTATCTAAAAAAAAAAAAAAATCAATGGAAAAATATCCTCAGGTGAGGATTCACAGAAAAAGAAAAAATGATAAATGTCTATGTGGATCTGAAGTGGTATCTCCCTTATTTCTGAGATTAACTTTTTTGTCTTCTTTTATCTTAATCAGTCTTGCTGATAGATTGATAGGGTTTATCAATGAGATTGATAGGGTTTATCAACCTCATTTGGCTTTTAAAGAATAGTTTTTATCATTTCTTTTGTGTGTTTGATTTTTTTCATTACGGCGCTTATTTCATTATTTTTTTTGCCTTAAGGTTTATTTTGCTGATCTTTTCTTATATCATTGCTTTTCAGCCATTTTTTCTTAATGTATTTAAGGTTATAACTGTATTACACCTTTTTTTATATAACACCTTCATAATTATTAAGTTCAAAATATTTGATTATTTCCACTGTTATGTCTTTGGCCCTCAGGTTATTGAGTATTTTTCTTAATTTTGTACCATATAGGGATTTTCTAGTAAGCTGTGGTCAGAGAAAATGCTCTGTATGATTGCAGTCTTTGTAAATTTCTTAAAACTTGCTTTACCACATGGCAATTTGTGTAAACATTTTGTGTGCACTTGGAAAAATATGTAGTCTGTAGGTATTGAGTGCAGTTCTAGATATGTCATTTGTTAATTATGTTGCTAAAATCTATGTACTTATTGATTGTCAGCTTATTCTATTAATTATTGAGAAAGATTTTATAAAAGTCTCCAGTGTGACTATAGATTTGTTTCATATTTTGGTTCCTTTAATTTTTCCTTTATGTATTTTGAAACTGCATTATTAGATAAATACAAAGTTTGAACTATTATAACTTTTTGGAAAATTGAAACTTTTATCATTACAAAGTATTTTATTTATCTCTGTTAATGGTTTTTGCCTTAAAGTCAATTTTGTCTGATAATTAGTATTACTATAGCATCATTTTTTTAGTAATGTTTGTATGGTATATCATTTTTTATCTGCTCACTGTAGTACTTGTATTTTATATTTCTCTTGTAATTAGCATATAGTTAGATTTTTTTTTTAAACTAATCTGACAGTCTGTGTCTTTTGGAATATTTAGATCATTTGTACCTAATACAATTACATAATGTTTAAATTTACCATCTAACTGCAAGTGTTTTGCCTGTTCTGTATTCTTTTCCCCCATTCATGTCTTCCTCTAGATTTATCATTTATTTTTCCATTTTCCCTACTAATCACTTGGTAATTATAAATTTTAAATTATTCAGTAGTTAACTTTGAGATTAAGCATGCATTCATGATTCAGCAGTCTAATACAGATTTTCCCTCTTCCCAAACTATACAGGGATCTTAGAACAGCGTATTCTATTTAACCTCATTTCATTTATATGTTACAGAAATTATATATTTTTATTCTATATATATATGTCAAATCTCATAATACATTATTATTTTTATGTGCAGTCAGTATTCATTGAGATTGACCTATATTTTTACCTTACCTTTCTCTTCATTTTTTCCTTCATTTCTGGGCTTCTACCTAGGATCATTCTTCTGCTTTAAAAAAATATCTTTTAATGTTTTATTGAGATCTGCTGATGCTGTATTCTCTCCAGTTTTCTTTTTGCTTAAAAATGTCTTTATTTAGCCCTGTTGTTCTGGCTTAGTGGTTAGAGCATCAGCCCTCGGGCCAAAAAGTTATGGGTTCAGTTCTAGTCAAGGGCACGTTCCTCTGTTGCTGTTTGATCCTCAGCTCTGATCGGGGTCATGTGGGAGCCAACCAGTCGATGTCTGTCTGTCTGTCTGTCTGTCTGTCTGTCTGTCTCTGTCTCTCTCTCTCTCTCCCCATCTGAAGATAAATGGAAAAAATATTCTTGTGTGAGGATTTTTTAAAAAATGTATTTAACCTTTAGTTTTGTTACCTTGTCCTATTCCACAATTGAAATAATTTTTATCAAGATATATTTGCTTCAGGCATTTCATTGTTTGTCAGTGTTCTTGACTTTAAGTAGACAGGTCTTATTAGTACAACCCATGCATTTATTTTATGGCAACTTCAGTGCCACTCTACATTAATAGGATATTGGTGCCTGTGGCATAGGTTCCATATTCAAAAGAGCAGATGGAGACAATGGGTGACTTCTCTGAGGACAAGGTTTCCTAAAGTGTATTCTGTGTTATGTGGGATATTAGAAAATTTAAAGTATATTTACCAAAGACCATCTTAATACCTTTAATATGCTTATATGTCTCATATCTCAAGGAGGCATGCCAAAACAAGGGACACATTTTTCCCCCAAGTAACTTGGGTCCATACATGAAGAAAATTATATAATAACAGTGATAGTAACAGTCAAAATGTATTAGATATCTACTCTGTTACTGGCATTCTGCTAGGAAATTTACTTATATAATTTCATTAAATGTAACCCTTAAAATAGCTCTATATAGTAGACATAGATCTGTTTAACAGCAAGAAACTGACGTTCAAAGAAGTTAAATTCACAGTTATTGTCAAAACTGGTATTTGGAAATTAATATTTATAACTAAATATATGTTCTTGTCACTGTGCTTCAGAGAAAAGGAGATGAGACCAAAACCTGGAAATAGGTTAAAGAAAGGGTAATTCCAAGGGCACAGGCCTCAGCTAAATCCAGGAAGAACAGAATGTCTACCTCTGAGAGTCTGACATAAGAGTGAGGTCCTACAAGGCAAAATGTCTGAATAGATGGACTATTTCAAACCACTGGGCTATGTTTGGAGCAAAAGGCCAGTGTCTAAGAGGAAAACATAAGGAAACTGAATAAGAACCTTCAGGATCTGGGAACTTAAAGTGAAGAAGGCTGCAGACTAAGAAGAAACTGGATTCTAGCCACAAGAACTAAGAAATAAGAGGCCTAGTGAGCATAGGTATCTGAAACTATGGTGATACTCAGTTGTGGAGGAAGAATTGTAAAGAGGATAGAGTTCTCACTTTGAACACCTGTATTCAAACCTAGATCTGTCATTTACCAGCTTTAGTTAACCATGTTAAACTTCAGTTTATGAATCACAAAGTGAGAATTAATATCTCTCAAACTCCTGTGGCTGTTACTAAGAACGGAGATAAGTTTACAAATATGTTGACTATGGTCCTGGCCAGTGTGACTCAGTGGATTGAGCGTTGTCCTATGGACTGAGAGGTCCCAGTTCGATTCCCGGTCAGGGCACGTGCCTGGGTTGTGGGCTTGATCCCCAGTAGGTGGCGTGCAGGAGGCAGCTAGCTGATCCATGTTTCTCTCTCACATCAATGTTTGTTTCTCTCCCTTCTCTCTCTAAAAAAATCAATAAAAACATATACAATTTTTTAAATATGTCTACTTTGGGATATTTAATTTTCATTTTTTAATAATGTTATTGGTAAGTTTAGAATTTTAGGTTGCCAGTTATATTCTTTCAGCATTTTAATGGTATCATCCCATTGTTTTCTGACTTATTACATAGAAACAGTTGAGAAGTCAACCATCTGTCTAATTCAGGAGTCAGCAATGTTTTTGTGTTTACAAGACAGTAAATATATTAGGTCTTGTGGGACTGTGGTGTCTGTGGCAACTCCTCCATTCTGCCATGGTAACACATCATATGCTTTTTTAAAATAATGTTTTCAAGTTTTTCATTATTCTGTGCTTCAATATGGATAATTTCTACTGACCCATTTTCCATTTTGCTAACACTCTCATGTCATGTCTACTTTTAGCCTATCCTTTGAGTTTTTAATTTATTTTCCAGTTCTAGAATTACCATTTGGTTCTTATTTTGTACTTTCCAACTGTTCAGTGACATTACTAATCTTGTCCTATTTTCTTAAATACAGGAATCATGATTAATTTAAAAGTTCATATCTGAAACCTCAATTATTTCAGTCCCCTTTAGATCAGTCTTTATTATCTGTTTCTTAATATTTTTCTCATGATTTTTTTTTGGTATGTGCTCCTAGCGGGAACCGAACCCGGGACTCTCTGGTCCGCAGGCCAATGCTCCAACCACTGAGCCAAACCGGCCAGGGCTCTCATATGATTTTTAATGTTCTTGTATGCCTATTATTTTTTATTGTCAGGCATTGAATATAAAAATGTATAACAGTAATTTGAGGTTCTGGTTTATGTAAATTTATTCCCCAGAAAAGTGTTTGCTTTTGGTGAGCTGCTACATGGGTCTCTAACAATCCTCAGCCACCTTGATTCAATTAGATATTTAAATGAGCTGGGTTTTAGTTATTGAGTTCTAGGGTTTTCTTTTTTCTTTTTGGACCACAACCTGGGCATGTGCCCTAACTGAGAATCGAACCAGTAAACTCTTGGTGCAGGGGTCGATGCTCAATCACTGAGCCTCACCAGTTGGGCAGGCTTTTCTTCTTTGTTGGCCCTGAATACAAATCCTTGGCCAGATCTATGAGTCCATTGAAAGTCTATGTACCTTGAGTTTTAAAGTCGTAAAACCATTCTACTATCCACAAAAGAATTTGATCCAACTTGTTTGTTTAAATTATTATACCTGAATATTTAAATTTAGATATAGTTACCCTATATGAATTAGAAATATAAAATAGGTATAAAAGTGTTTTAGTTTTATTATTTTTTTTAATCCTCATCCGAGGACATTTTTCCATTTTTTTGTATAGACAGAGTGGGAGAGAGAGAGAGGAAGAGAGAGAGAGGAAACATCGATGTGAAAGGGACACATCGAGTGGCTGCCACCCGCACGACCAACCAGAGCCGGGGACAAACTGCAACCGAGGTACATGCCCTTAGCGGGAACCGAACCCGGGCCTCTCCGGACCGCAGGTGGATGCTCTAACCGCTGAGCCAAACCGGCCAGGGCTAAAAGTGTTTTAGAAAGTTAGATATTAACTTGCATATACAAACAGGTTATAAGACTGCCACGCTGCACTATAATTTTTTTAAAAAAGACTTTTGACAAACTGTCTGAAATGTTCTTAAAACCCATAAAAAGGTAATAAAACTTTTTTTTAATTCCCCACCCGAGGATATTTTTCTACTTATTAGCAGATAGAGTGGGAGGTAGGGAGAGCAAGAGACAGAAAGAAACATCGATGTGATAGAGCCACATCGACTGGTTGCCTCCTGCATGACCCAACCAGGGCCGGGGATGAACCGCAACCAAGCTACATGTCCTTGACTGGAATTGAACCCTCGACTCATTGGTCCATGGGCTGATGCTCCAAATGCTGAGCCAAACCAGCCGGGGCAAAACTATTTTTGATAATAAAAATCACTGTTTGAAATATCAATAACCATAAACATTAATTTTGACTAATTTGTTCAGCCTACTTTCTGAAAAATCAGTCTTTTCCTCATAAGAATTTTATTAAACAAAGACTTGAATAAGCTACTATGACAGGGGAAACTTGAAAATGCTTTCACAAAGGAAAAAAAGTGTGGTTGGGGATAAATATCTGATCTGTGGGGTAAATGAGAAGCAGGGAAGTAGTCACAACATATGAAAAATGCTCTCTAAAGAAGTTGACTCTAAAGGGAACGAGAAAAGAAATATTTGAGAGACTTAGATTCTAGGAGCATTATCATGAAGGAATTTTTTTTTTTTTTTTATCCTCACCCGAGGATATTTTTCCATTTCTTGTACAGATAGAGAGGAGGGAGAGAGAGAGAGAGAGAGAAACATCGACGTGAAGGGACACATCGAGTGGCTGCCACCCGCACGACCAACCAGGGCCGGGGACAAACTGCAACCGAAGTACGTGCCCTTAGCGGGAACCGAACCCAGGTCTCTCCGGACCGCAGGCCGACGCTCTAACCGCTGAGCCAAACCGGCCAGGGCTGAAGGAATTTTTTTAATAGAAGAAAACTCCTTGAATTTACTGTTTTAGTTCTCCGCTCAACCAGATTCCCTGAACTTCAGCTTCTTGTTCCTAGAAAACAAGGCCAACTTGCAGGCAGTTAAAACCACATATTCACTGTCAGCCCAAGTTTTTCTTCTATTACTCAGTTTAGTAAGAACTCTCCAATTTAGGAAATAGAGTTATTTTATTTTTTTTTCCTTCCTCCCCAGAGTTGGAGACCAAACCAGCAACCAAGAATGCTATACTAACAGAGGATCTCTCTGAAGATTTATCACAGGAGACCATAGTAGGGAAACTCACAGACAATGGTCTGTGGGACTCCAGAATGGGAGGATTATGGAAATGGAATGACAAGATATTGAGACTGCAAAATAGTCAGGAGAGTCGGAGCCAAAGAATGGTTGCACATAAGAAAATTCACATTGGTCAAAGAGGCATTATATTTGGGTCTATTTTTTGTCCAGAACCAGGAGTTATCACAGAAGAGCTTCACAGCAAATGCCAAACACATGAGGAAAACTTCACAGAGAATTTAGATTTGAATACAGATACCCATTTGGGGAAGAAAAATTGCGAGGATACAGAAGGCAGCAGAGCTATGAGGCCTACTTCAGAACTTACTTTAGGGAAAAGAAACAATAATAAAGAAAAACCCTATAAATGTAGTACATGTGAAAAGGCTTTTCGTTACAAGTCATTACTCATTCAACATCAGAGAACTCACACTAAAGAAAAACCTTACGAATGTAATGAATGTGGGAAAATGTTTAGCCAGCCTTCATATCTTAGTCAACATAAAAAAATTCACACTGGAGAAAAACCCTATAAGTGTAACGAATGTGGAAAGGCCTTTATTGCTTCTTCATCACTTATGGTACATCAGAGAATTCATACTAAGGAGAAACCTTATCAATGTAATGTCTGTGGAAAATCTTTTAGCCAGTGTGCACGCCTTAATCAGCACCAGAGAATTCAAACTGGAGAGAAGCCCTATAAATGTAGTGAATGTGGGAAAGCTTTTAGTGATAAATCAAAACTTGCACGACATCAAGAAACTCACAATGGAGAGAAACCCTACAAATGTAATGATTGTGGGAAAGCCTTTAGGAATAAGTCCTATCTTAGTGTACATCAGAAGACCCATACTGAAGAGAAACCATATAAATGCAGTGAGTGTGGAAAATCCTTCAAGAATACCACAATTTTTAATGTTCATCAGAGAATTCATACTGGAGAGAAACCCTTTAGATGTAATGAATGTGGAAAAGCCTATAGAAGTAATTCAAGCCTTATTGTACATATAAGGACTCACACTGGAGAAAAACCCTATGAATGTAATGAATGTGGGAAAGCATTCAATCGTATAGCAAATTTCACAGAACATCAGAGAATTCATACAGGAGAAAAACCCTATAAATGTAATGAATGTGGGAAAGCTTTCATTAACTATTCATGCCTTACAGTACACCACAGAATGCATACAGGAGAGAAACCTTATAAATGTAGTGAATGTGGAAAGGCCTTCATGCGTTCTTCATCTCTAATTATACATCAGCGAATTCATACTGAAGAGAAACCTTATCTATGTAATGAATGTGGAGAATCTTTCAGAATAAAATCACACTTAACTGTACATCAGAGGATTCATACTGGAGAGAAACCATATAAATGCACTGACTGTGAGAGGGCATTCACCAAAATGGTAAATCTCAAGGAGCATCAGAAAATCCATACTGGAGTGAAACCCTATAAATGCTGTGATTGTGGAAAATCCTTCAGGACTAAGTCATACCTTATTGTACATCAAAGGACCCATACCGGAGAAAAACCATATAAATGTAATGAATGTGAGAAAGCTTTTACTAATACATCACAGCTTACTGTGCATCAACGAAGGCATACTGGAGAAAAACCCTACAAATGTAATGAATGTGGGAAGGTTTTCACAAGTAATTCAGGATTTAATACCCATCAGAGAACACATACTGGAGAGAAACCATTTAAATGTAATAACTGTGGGAAAGCATTTAGCCAGATGGTGCATGTCACAGAACATCAGAAAATCCATAGTGGAGAGAAGCCCTATAAATGTGATGTCTGTGGAAAAGCCTTCAGGAGGGGTTCATACCTTACAGTGCATTGGAGAACACATACTGGAGAAAAACCCTATACATGCAAAGAATGTGGAAAAGGTTGTATTACTCTGTCACAGCTAACTCTACATCAGCGAATTCATACTGGGGAGAGGCCCTATAAATGTGAGGAATGTGGAAAAACCTTTAGAACTAACTCAGACTTTACTGTACATCTGAGGATGCACACTGGAGAAAAACCCTATAAATGTAATGAATGTGGAAAAACCTTTAGGAGTAGCTCAAGCCTTACTGTACATCAAAAAATACATCAGAGAGAAACTCAGTTAATATAGAGAATAATAAATCATCCTGATGTCTACTCCATACGAATCATAATCTGTATATTTAATGAATGTGGGAAGACTCAAAATCAATTTGCAATAAAATACACACAGAAAAATCACTATAAACATATGAATGTGGAAAAGTCATATTAAATCTTAGAAGTTACAAGAAAATTCACAATATTGTACAATATTGGACAAATGAAAGCCTTCTTCATTCATTAACAGATTAATGAATTGCCTATATATTTTTGCCTATATGTCTGTTGGTTTATCTAATGAATCTGGAGGTGCTCTTTATGAATTTTAGATATTCATCCTTTGTCATGTGTGTTGCAGATGTTTTTCTGAATCTAGTATTTGTCTTTATACTTTTATATATATATAGTAAAAGAAATCATGACATATTTTTATTTTTATAGTAAAATATCTTTTTCCTTTTTCCCCCCTTGATTTACTATTATAGTTCAAAGGGTCTCCTTAATTTCTAGGTTATACAGTGTCCTAAATTTGTTTATAAGATTCTGATAATTTTATTTTTTACATTGAAGTCTTTAACCCATCTGGACTGGAGGGCTGTTGATTGAAGAGCAACTCCAAATGGCCATTAACCTATGGAAATATTATGAACCTAACTACTACTCAGGGAAATGCAAATTACAACATCCCATGCGATATCACTTTCATTTCATGGAGTTTGCAAAATTAAGAGATCTTTTGCTCATGGGGTTGGGAAACCATGTACTCTCACCAGAAGATTATATCAACTTATATTTCCACCTGCGATTCAATGTAAAAATATTTAATGTTTTAAAAATAAAAATGCTTTGACCCAGAAGTCTGTCCCACAGAAATAATAGCATCAGTGCATAAGTATACACATAAATAAGGATGTTTGTTGAAGTATTGTTTTAGAGGCAAAATAAATGAGCATTAATAGAATAGTTGGATGAGTTGTGATATATCCTGATATATGGAATAGCAAGAATGATTTTTAAAATGAATTATATCTACACTAGTTGACATAAAGTTTTTTCCACAATTTGGGATAAGTAACTGCTTTATTACAGATATGTATATGTGTAATATTTCATTTTTGTTAAGTGATGTATTTGTATGTGTGTGTGTGTGTGATGCGAAAGCATGAAAACTGATGTGGAAGAATATACACCAGAAGTTAACACTGGTTCACTTGAAGGGAGGAGGAAAGGAGAAGTGGGGAGATAAGTAAGGGAAAAGACTGGGGAAAAAAGAGAAATGTAAGTGTAGCCTGTGTGGTATAAAACTATATGTAAAACTGTGTATTTGTGTGAACTTTTGAGAGCCATGAATGAAGGGATGGTCTCCAAAACTTAATGATGGTTGTTTCAGAGTTAGTTGGTGGAGTATCAGGTATCTTTTGTTTGACTTTTCTGCACTTTTCTATATTTTTAGGTCTTTCCAATGAGCATGTAATATTTACATGAACAGGAAATACTCTTTTTCTTGTGAAGCTAATTTACTGGACACCTGTTATATGCCAGCAATCACCCTAGGTGCTGGATATACATTGGTGGGGGAGAAATGATCATAGATCTCAGAAGATGGGAATTGGTTTGGATGCTACCTAGATTCCAATGCTGCCCAGCACTCACTCCCCCTACCCTCTGTTCATTTGAAAGAGGTAATAGAAATGTTATATAGATGGAAACATATCCAAGAATATCTAGACGTGTCCGTTTTATAGAGAGGAAGACCACAAACCTCAGAGACAAGTTCCATTTTCAACATGGTGCCAAAGTAAAAGTCACAGTGGTAGCAAGTTCTATGCATAGCCTCACAGAACATTGGAGTAGAGAGAAGGGAGATAGCCAAGGACTCCCAAGTCCACAAAGAAGGCTGGGGATACTAAGAGAGTCCCGGAGTCAAAGTGGGAATCCAGAAGCTGTGGACCTGATACCAGAAGGCTTTAACAGACCATGGGCCTGTTACCCAAGAACAAGGCATGATGAGCTATGCTTCAGTGGAGACTAGAGGAAAGAAAATCAAATGTCCTTCTTACAATGTACACAGTAGACAAGTATTTAATATTGGGAAGAGAACAGTGAATAAATGTTATGAGCTATCTCCCATTATAAATGAATAATTTGACATTGTGGTTAAAATGACCATGTCTGGTTGAATTTTAATAATGAAATTTATTAACTATTACAAAGAGACTTATTTGGATAGAATGTACCAACTTCTGATCGGAAAGTTTGAGAATTAAACCTTGAAATACTACCCTTAAAAAGCCCTTCTGTTGTTACAAAATAGTCATGGGGATGTACAGTACAGCATAGGGAATATGGTCAATATTATAATAACTACATGTGGTGTCAGTTGGATAACTAGACTTATTGATGGGATCACCTCATAAGTTATATAAATGTCTAACCACTATGCTGTACACCTGAAACTAATATAATATTAAATGTCAACTATAACTGAAAAATAAAAAAATATTTTTAAAATCACTTGCTGTCAAACAGTTGATGCAATGATGCCATCTATTGGCTGCTGCTTTCTACCTCTTAGCACTCAGCACACTGAGACCCTGCCTCCTATCCCTGTTTTAGAGCCAAGCATTTTTGGAAGAGAAGCATAGCCCTGGCCAGGTGGCTCAGTTGGTTGGAGCATCATCCTGTATACCAAAAGGGTGCAGGTTTGGTCCCCGGTTGGGGAACGTACAGGAGGCAGCTGATCAATGTTTCTCCCTCACATCGATGTTTCTCTCTCCCTTCCTCTCTCCATTTCCTTAGTGGCTGATAATGTTTCCTTAGGTGTTTATTGGCTTTTTGAATATCGTCTTTTGAGAAGTACATGTTCAAGACTGGCCATATTTTTACTGGGAACTCTGTTCATTTATAGGTTTCTTTAAAATTGTGTATATAAGGTACTATTAGATGTTTGTATTTGTATTACAAATATTGCCCCATCTGCAACTTGCTCTTTATCTCCTAAATGATGTCCTATGATGAATAGAAGTCTTTAATTTTAATGAATAATTCCTCAGTCCTTTTTTAAGATTAGTGCTTTTATGTTCAGTTTAAGAAATCTTTTCCTAATGCAAGATTATAAAGACATTTTCCTACATTTTATTCTGCCTATCTACTGTTTTTACTTTTAGGTCTACAATCTATCTGAAATTAATTTTAAGTATGGTGTGGAATAGAGGTCAAAATTAATATTTTCCATTCAAATATACAGTTTAACATTATTTAATGAAAAGACCATCTTCTTCCCTCCCCCTAGCATTGAAATGGTACCCTTATGATAAATCAGATGATTATATTATGTGAAGGTCTATTTCTAGATTATCTATTTTGTTTCATTGTTCTATTAAACACTAAAGGTACTTAGTGAAAACAGATGTATAGTATGTTTAGGCATCTGGTGGTATAGATCTTCTAATTTTGTTCTTATTCAAAGTTATCACTGAATTCTAGGCCCTTGGCATTTTCGTACATATTTTTAAATAATTATTTTCAATTCCTCCACATGAAAAAGTTGGGATATTCGTGAGCATTACATTAAATACGTAGGTTAATTTGGAAGAATGGGCACTTAATAATATTGAGACATCCGGACTATGATCATGCTATACCTTTTCATTTATGTCCATCTTATAATTTCAGCAATTTTTGTATTTTTCCAATGTAAAAGTCTTGAACATTTTTGTGAGGTTAGTCCTATGTATTTAGTATTGAGATGTTATAAATACTATCATTTTCTGATTTTTGATAATATACAGGGGTCGGCAAAAGTAGGTTTACAACCGTATGGAAAATAATAATACAAAAATAAACTGTTTTGTGTACTCCCAACTGCAAGCCTACTTTTGCCCATCCCTGTATATTAAATACATATAAATAATACATGCTATTATAGTATAGTATATGTAATATAATAGCATATTAAGTTTATAATATGTATAGTATATATTACATATATTAGATTTAAACTGACCTTATATCCAGTGACCTTGCTAAATTGACTTACTATAATTTGTTTATTCTCTTGAACCCTATGTACAAAATATGTCCTCTGCAATAAATCTTTTTTACTTCATTCCTTCCAACCTATATACCTTTATTTATTTTACTTTAATTGTGCTGGCTAGGACCTCTGTAAGTAGTGATTATGGACATCCTTGCCTTTTTCACCAGGGTTTCTTGGATTCCTGCTTGAACCTAGCAGAAGGAGTCTTACTGGAAACAAAAGAAGCCATAATTCAAATGGAAATTCCCAATACAGTCAAACCTCAGTTCTCAAACATCTCCCATCTTAAACAATTTGGTTGTTGACAAGTGGTTCATAGAAAAATGTCTCAGTTGTCAAACAAAACTTCGGTTCTGGACCTGGCAGCCCTTTCATGCTGATACCTGAATGATCACTGTGTGTCTCTCAGGCGACAAAGTAGAGAATGCATGAGTATGAGTCAGTTTACTGCTAAACCTCGAGTTGTTACCATCTCAGGAAATTGTACTGTGAATATTTTCATGGTTTATTGCTTTTGTTGCTGATTATTATTAAATACATACAGTAAATCACCGTGGGTCCTAAGATGGTTATTGATAGCATCAAAGTAAAAAGGAAAGTTGTAAGAACAATAGAGCTTAAAAAGGAAATAACTGCAAATAATGATAGAAGTGTTTGTGTGTCTGATCTGGTTACTGAGTATGGGACAGCAAAACTGACGATTAGCACAATTTTAAAACCTAAAGAGGTCCTCAAGAGTGCTGATTTTGCTAAGGGTGTGAAAGTTCTCATGAAACAAAGATCACAGGCAATTGAGAAAGGTTAAAATGGAATCATTTTGGTGCCTGAAACAAATTCAATTTACATTATTTCTAATGGGAAAAAATGATTTGGTTTTTTAACAAATTGTTTCCTGAATAGCCTTCCAGAACAAATTAAGTTCAAGGATCCAGGTTCCCCTGTACCAGGAAATAGTTAAGAGGATTCCTGGGAATGGCAGGCTACTGCTGCTTTTGGATTCCAAACTTTGGGCTGATTGCTAAACCATTACATGAAGCTTTGAAAGGACCAGAATATATCCCTTTAGAAAGAAGGGAGTGCACTCAGGCTTTTGAGTCCCTGAAGGCACACCTGGCTTCTGCACCAGCCTTGGGGTTT